TCAGTGAATGACACAGTATTTATATCCCTCGCTTATGTCTCGAGGACCCAGTCTACTAATAATACAGAATACACTCGGGGCCTACCCGAGACCCTGAAAAACAACCAAGAACATTTAACTCCTAAGTCCGTAACCCAAACTCCTAAGTCCGCTGAAACACCTCAACCTAATTACCCATTCTAATGTACGTTTCCCTGTCGATGTTTCCTCTCCAACGACCATCTTGTAACGGGGGTCCTTTCTAAGAGAAATAGATTTGTATAGAATAGAGACGGCCGTGCAAGATAGACAATCAGGTTGCAGATTATTCAAAGATACTATCGCTAGAACTCAATAATCTTTAAGGGCTCTGCTACCGATTCGAACTTCGTTCTTTTGTTTGATGAAGACTGGAGAAAACAGGACTGAAGGGCGGGAATGAACCTGAGTACTTATACTCCGAAGGCTTCTATTCTCTGCTCCTAACTCCTTACTAAGTTCCGGTGGGCCTTCCCTCAGTACCGGAAACAATACCACCACCACCCCGCTTTCCTCTAAGCGTCAGCAGGTGTTTCCGATACCCAAGGCAACCACCCTTAGTCAAAGCCTTTGTAACACCTGCAGCCTTGGTTGCCACACAACCGAGGACCTGCATGAATGAGCTGCCGCTCAGGTGTAAGCTTAATCATTGCTGTAGAGCTTTCGCTTATTGTAGACTTCCCTAGCATAGTCCCTGCCCTTCGGCGGACTTACAATGCTCAGAGGATCTAGAGGATCACCGGGCAATCAGAGCTTCACTCTGGCCGGTCTTCTAGTCACTGGCGAGGCATAGACTCGTCAGTCATTGCTCCCATGAATAGATCCTCTTCCTAGCGCCCGGAATGTAGTTACTCTAACAGCTGGTAGCTAACCACACTGCCGGTACTTGCATATCACCGTGTAACTGGCTTCTAACAATAACTCTCAGCATGTAACCGGGCCCTGTGTGTACTCATACACCAGACAGTTGAAATGGCTCCGTTACACCACTCCCCTCTTCCAGGATCTTGGTCTCCGAGATCTATAACCATTCTATTACCATACAATCTATATGACAAGAAACTTCGTGATATGCAAGGAACAAAACCTAAGGAAAAATCTACACCCCAACAATCCGCTTGTCCTTGGGTTTCTTAGGATACCTCATATGGAAATCCCGAAGGGCTTCTTCAGCACTCTTCTTGAGATGCTCCCAAGGTTCCCATGTAGCATCCTCGTTTTCATAACCTTCCCACAGCACTAGGTATTCCACTCGTCTCCTTTTCTTATTGACCCGGCTGTCAGCTACTTCTCGGACAACCCAGTTCTGTTCTCCTTCAATCTCTTCTGGCTCCGGTACAGGAACTCTTCTCTCAGGATCTACCGGTGCTCGGTAGGGTTCCAGAAGAGAGACATGAAAGACCGGGTGGATTCCCATTTGGGGGGGAAGAGAGAGCTTGTAGGCACGGGTACCAATAGCTTCTAAGACCTTAAAGGGTCCCATCTTCTTCTGATCCAATTTTCCCAAAGGCCGCTTTGTTTGCACATTGCGCCGGTCCAACATAACTTCATCTCCGGGCTTGATTTCAGGCGGTGCCAGGGCATGAGCATCATACCACCGGGCCATCCTTAATCTAGCTTTACCCAAGCTGGCGTTCATAGCCTGCCAGATAGATTCCCATTGAGATATCATGACCTCGCTCGCTGGATTGTTCCATTCTACTCCTTCCTTTGGGGCCGGCCAGTTGGTCCTGGGTTCATAACCATAGTTGGCATAAAAAGCCGATACTTTGGTAGACTCAGAGACCGCCGAGTTATATGCATACTCTGCCAAAGGCAAGAGTTCTGCCCAGTCATCCTGTTGATATGAACAATAACTCTGCAAGTAATGTTCCAGGGTCTGGTTAACTCTTTCTGTTTGACCGTCCGTTTGTGGATGGAATGATGTGGACATCTTCAGCTTCACATTGAGGAGACTCATGAGAGATTGCCAAAAGTGAGAAATGAACCTGCTATCTCTGTCCGAGACTATGTCATCAGGTAAACCATGGAGTCTCCAAACTTCCTTCAAGAACAACTTAGCCAAATCTTCCGTTTTATTGAGGGTAGGAAGAGGGATGTAGTGTGCCATCTTCGAAAAGCGGTCCACTATTACCCAGATCTTTGTAAACCCACTAGATTCCGGTAACCCCACAATGAAGTCCATAGAGATGGAAGTCCATGGCCGATAGGGTATCTCCAATGGTTGGAGCATACCAAACTTCTTATGTCTTGAGGTCTTATTCCTCTGGCAGCTGTCACAGCTCCGGACATATTCCTCAACATCCTTATCCATGTTGGGCCAAAAGAAGTTGTTTTTCACCCGCTCAAGTGTCTTAAATTGGCCAAAGTGACCAGCCACCTTAGAGTCATGGGTATCGGACAGTATTTCCATCTGAAGCTTCTTGTCTTTGGGTATATACCATCTATTCTTGTAGAAGATGAGACCGTTCTTGACCGACAAGTTCTGGTCCAAATTTGGTTTCCTTTCGACCAGGGAGCGGTGCAATTCCTGCCAGAAACTATCCTCTTTAGCAGCCGTGTATAGGCGCTCTAAGAATGTATTCTGCAATTGATTCACCCTGACAGCCGCTAGCTTTGCAGGATCCAAAACCAATTGACCTGGCCTAAAAAAGATCTGTGGCTCCGGCTGCAGAGTTTCACCTCCCTCTCCAAGGCGGTGATCCCAGCGCCTAGATAGCACATCAGTCTTGCCATTCTTTTCTCCCGGTCTGTAGACAACTTTGAAATTGTAGCCTGCGAGATCTTCAGACCATCTAGCTTGCCGCCTAGTGAGAACTTTGGTAGAGTTAAAATACTCCAAGTTCTTGTGGTCTGTAAAAACCGTGATCTCTTGCTCACAAGATTTGAGCATGTGTTCCCATTCCCGGAAAGAGGCTACAATAGCTCCCATTTCCTTATCATGAATGTCATAGTTGATCTCAGCAGGGGAGAACTTCTTAGAATAGAATGCCACCGGATGTAGCTTTCCATCGTCCCCATACTGAGAGAGCACTGCCCCCTTGGCAAAATCACTGGCATCTGTCTCGACCACCGTTCTTCTACTAGGGTCAAAGTGAAGAAGGATTGGAGCGCTTGTGAACAGCCTCTTGAGTTCTTCAAAGGCCTGCTCATGTGCTGCCGTCCAATACCATTTCTTGTCTTTTTGCAAGAGGTCAGTTAATGGCTTGCAAACCTTACTGAAGCCTTCAATGAAGCGGCGATAGAAGTTTGCAAATCCGAGGAATGCCTGTACTGCCTTGATATTCTCAGGGACCGGCCATTCCTTAACTGCCTCCACCTTGTCTTCTGACATAGATACTCCTTCTTCCGAGATGTGATAGCCTAGGTATTCTACTTCTCGGACATGGAAGGATGTCTTATTGATCGAGGCACAGAGCTTTGCTTCCCTAAGCTTCTGTAATACCTTCTTGACCAGTAGCTCATGCTCTTTCTCAGTCTCCGAGTAGATGAGGATGTCGTCGATGTAGACAACCACTCCTTCATCCAGTAGTTCCTTTAGCACATCATTGATCATTGCCTGGAAGGCTGAGGGGGCATTGCATAGACCAAATGGCATCACATTATACTGATACAGTCCATAGCGGGTTCTGAAAGCGGTTTTCCACTCATCACCTTCTGCTATCCTGATCAAATTGAAGCCGTTCTTCAGGTCTATCTTTGTGAAGATCTTGGCCTTGAACAACCTGTCTCTGAGCTCGCTCATGATAGGCAGCGGGTACTTGTCCTTGACAGTGACCTTGTTCAATCCTCTGTAGTCCACACAAATTCGCAATGTCCCATCCTTCTTAGGAATGAACAGTATGGGCGCCGCAGCAGGGCTATTAGATCTAGAGATCTTTCCTGAAGACAATTCTTTGTCCAGGTACTCTCGGAGGGCCTTCAACTCTGGAGCGGAACATGGGTACAGTGGGCCAAATGGGGGAGCGGTCCCAGGCAAGAGTTTGATCTTTAAATCATTATGGGAATGCGGCGGCATTTCCTCAATCTTCTCTTGACTGAACACATCAGCCCAATCCCGGTATAGGTGGTGTATTTTCTCAGCAATATCACCTCCGTCCTCATCATGCCATACTGAACCAACCAATTGATAGACTGTCTCTTCTTCTTCCAACATTTGGTATGGAGAGATCAGTTCAATCTTGGTGGCCGCTGGGAGACAATTCTGCTTACAGTAGTCACTTCTCCAGCTCATGGTGTTGAGTTCCCAGTTGATGTCCGGGTTATGCTTCCTAGCCCAACTAATTGGCAGGTAACCGGTCATTCCTTCTTCCAAAGTAGCCACTTCCCATCGGAGTGTCTCCTTATGATCTCCCATAATCATGCGGACCGGGTGAGTATAATACTCGCCTCCTCCCATCATGACATCTCCTTGAGCATCAAACATTGTCAGAGGTTGATCCCGCCGCACTAAGGGAATTCCATGCTTCCTGACAAAACTCTGGTTGAGGATTGCTCCTGTACAACCGGTGTCAAACAGGAAAGACCCTTGGGCGCCTTCATCCTTTCCTTTGACTGTCCATGACAGTCCTGCCTTCAGTATAGGTCTTTTTCCATGTACTGGTAAGGAGGGAAGCCTCTGTTCCAACCTTCTTTACTTAACAGCGGATTCTGGACTCGTTTCTCTTTGTCTTTTCAGCATAGCTAATAGCTTCGGGCACTACTAAGATCAAAGATCCTTTGGTTCTATTCCCAAGCGGTAATATAGCGGGTATGATGTGTGGTGATTTTTTGGTAGCGGTTTGGAAGTGTCTTTGTAGCAAATGTAACTTTAGTAGAGCACTGACAGACCAGCTGTTTCGGGTCTTAAACCCATCCTCAGAGTGCTTGGAGCAATCAAATAGGCGGAAACACAATCATAATTTATTCAAGAGAAACATAGAAACCCAAATCCCATATAAAAGAAAACTAGTAAACATAGACCCAAACAGACACTTTTCTACCAGAGGATTTCATTGTCCGAGTCTTGCTCAGGCTGCAAAACAAAATCTTCCGTAACCTCCGGGAGTACAATAAGTGGATCCTCTGCTACTACAGCAGCCACTTTAGCCTTCTTCTGAGAGTTGGACTTGCCATTCCCTCTTTTCCGCTTTTGTACCCTCACTGCTGCTACTCGAACAACAGTAGGTTCCTTGGACCAACAATCGGTCCATTTGTGTCTGGACTTGCCGCACTATTGCACAAGTCAGTCTATGCACTCTACCAATAGGGAGTACCGGAAGGTCATACCTTCAAGCATACTTCTGCTTTCCTTCTTTCTTCTAGAATATCCCCCGGGATACCCTTCAGTTCCACCGCTTTGTCCTTAGGTCCAGGAGTCTTCTGAGGTCCAGAGGAGCTCGCAGCTTCTCTTTTCCTCTTAGGCTGCTGGTCCTTCTGAGCGGGAGGATCTTTCTTGGTCCGAGGGTGCGCTTTCTCAGCTGCCATCCCTTGGTACCTCTCATGGGTGTGCCCTAACTCTCTTAGAGCAGCTATCCGCTCCATCAAGGACTTTGGCTTGGGATTAAAAAGAGCCCAACTCATGCCTAGGTCTGGGAGGAGGGAATTATGAATCTTATCATCCACCAACTGACCCTCATAGCCAGTCTTCCACATCAGCTGAATGATAGTATTCAGGAAGAGGTCTATTCCTCCTCGAGCTGTGTGAGCGAGGGTATTCCATTGGGCTACAGCATCATCTCTAGAGATGGCTTCACCGAAGGCAGCTCTAAAAGCATCCACAAAGGAATCCCAGCGCTTCCATCTCTGATCCAACTGCACCGGCATCCCAGCAAGGCGGTTGGCGGAGGCTTGATCAATTGAATTGTGGTATGCCTCATACCATCGGATCGCTGCCTCACCTTCCATCAAGTTGCCTGCATATCGGATCTTAACCTCCTCAGAGGTAAATGACAGGCTCTCAATGGAGAACACATTCTCACATTGCCGGATGAAGGTCTCCACTTGCTCCGCTTTGCCCTGGAATTTGGAAGGTGGTGGTGCCTTTGGTTCTCTGGCCCTAGTGGAAGTAGAAGGGTGGGAGGTGGCCGGAGGTTGATACTGCTGGGACATAATAGCAAACAAGTCCTTCTGTTGCTTCTCCAACTTCTTCTTAAGATATCTCCGCCATCCTCTCCTATCACCACCTTCTGGTTCCGAGTCTGAACTGTCTGGATCTCCTGGAGCGGGAGCGCGGGCTGCTGGGGGTGGAGGGTTCTGATTTCCACCACTTCCTCCCTGTGCCTGAGCTGGAGGGGGAGCGGCGGCCGCAGCAGGAGGGGCCACAGGTGCTACTGGTGCCGGATTGCTGGCCAAAGGTGAGGTTGCTGCTGGTTGAGCGGCCCCAGACATGGTGAACCTTCCCGGGTTCCTGGCTAGTGGACTGGGAGGTCCTCGGCCTGCACCTGAGAAGAACTCTCCTTCATAGTCAAAGGATCGGTCAGTTCCTCCAAGGAGTGGGTGTACCCCACCGAAGCGGCTAGGTGGTAAGGGTGAAGCTCCCACCGCTGGCTGCACAATAGGAATAACTCTCCTAGTGGATCTGACCGGAAATGCTGCAAAGGGGCTGGCCTTCCGCTGCATTGTCCTGGTAGCTGCTCTGGAAGAGGACCTGGAGACTGGATTTGGTGCCGGAGTTGCTGGTCTGGCCACCACCAGTCTTCCTTCATCAAGGGCTTTCTGTATCTCGGCCACAAAGTCCGGTGGAGTAGCCGGGTTTGTCCACTCAATCTCCATGGCATCGGCATTCAGCTCATCTTTCTCCACATACTTCCGGAGTTCTTCCTGAACAGAGTTGACCTCCATTCTCATGTACTCAAGAGCTTCCGCCATCAGAGCATTCTGTGCTGCCTGGCGCTCTTGTACAATGAGTAGGGCCTGACTGCCCCGGGTCAACTGATTCTGCAGGCTGTGCTGGAGGTAGGTCTGAAGCTCTGTGAAGAATTGCTGGACGGAAATCTCGTCGGTATCCTGCCAAGCAGGCTCGCAACCGGGGATGTAGGTCTGTAAAGCGGTCCTGGGCTTCTTGACAAGCTGTGTCTGCCCAGTGGCATCAAGCTGGAGGGGCACCGGCTGCCATTCAATCTGCAGGGGCGCATCCGGAGCTGAGAGGGCGGACATTTTTGTATATAGGAAGAATAATCTGAAGGTGACTTGAGCCTTAAAGATTATCTGTAACGGGGGTCCTTTCTAAGAGAAATAGATTTGTATAGAATAGAGACGGCCGTGCAAGATAGACAATCAGGTTGCAGATTATTCAAAGATACTATCGCTAGAACTCAATAATCTTTAAGGGCTCTGCTACCGATAAGAACTTTTTGTTTTTCTTTCTGATCAAGACTCGAGAGAATCGGACTGAAGGGCAAGAATGAACCTGAGTACTTATACTCCGAAGGCCTCTATTCTCTGCTCCTAACTCCTTACTAAGTTCCGGTGGGCCTCTCCTCAGTACCGGAAACAATACCACCGCTACCCCGCTTTTCTCTAAGCGTCAGCGGGTGTTTTCCGATACCCAAGGCAACCACCCTTAGTCAAAGCCTTTGTAACACCTGCAGCCTTGGTTGCCACACAACCGAGGACCTGCATGAATGAGCTACCGCTCAGGTGTAAGCTTAATCATTGCTGTAGAGCTTTCGCTTATTGGAGACTTCCCTAGCATAGTCCCTGCCTTTCGGCGGACTTACAATGCTCGGAGGATACAGAGGATCACCGGGCAATCAGAGCTTCACTCTGGCCGGTCTTCTAGTCACTGGCGAGGCATAGACTCGTCAGTCATTGCTCCCATGAATAGGTCCCCTTCCTAGCGCCCGGAATGTAGTTACTCTAACAGCTGGTAGCTAACCACACTGCCGGTACTTGCATATCACCGTGCAACTGGCTTCTAACAATAACTCTCAGCATGTAACCGGGCCCTGTGTGTACTCATACACCAGACAGTTGAAATGGCTCCGTTACAAATGGTTTGCAAACTTTACTGAAGCCTTCAATAAAGCGGCGATAGAAGTTTGCAAATCCGAGGAATGCCTGTACTGCCTTGATATTCTCAGGGACCGGCCATTCCTTAACCGCCTCCACCTTGTCTTCTGACATAGATACTCCTTCTTCCGAGATATGATAGCCTAGGTATTCTACTTCTCGGACATGGAAGGATGTCTTATTGATCGAGGCACAGAGCTTAGCTTCCCTAAGCTTCTGCAGTACCTTCTTGACCAATAGCTCATGTTCTCTCTCAGTCTCCGAGTAGATGAGGATGTCATCAATATAGACAACTACTCCTTCATCCAGTAGTTCTTTTAGCACATCATTGATCATTGCCTGGAAAGCGGAGGGAGCATTACATAGACCAAATGGCATCACATTATACTGATACAGTCCATAGCGGGTTCTGAAAGCGGTTTTCCACTCATCACCTTCTGCTATCCTGATCAAATTGAAGCCGTTCTTCAGGTCTATCTTTGTGAAGATCTTGGCTTTGAACAACCTGTCTCTGAGCTCACTCATGATAGGCAGCGGGTACTTGTCTTTGACAGTGACCTTGTTCAAACCTCTGTAATCCACACAAATCCGCAATGTACCATCCTTCTTAGGAATGAACAATATGGGTGCCGCAGCAGGGCTGTTAGATCTAGAGATCTTTCCTGAAGACAATTCTTTGTCCAGGTACTCTCGGAGGGCCTTCAATTCTGGAGCGGAACATGGGTACAGCGGGCCAAATGGGGGAGCTGTTACGGGCATGCTAAGCATTTACGGGAGTGAGAGAAAGGCTAGAAGATACCCCAATACCCTTTGATACTAATGGCAACACCACTATCAACTCCGGTTCGCACCCACGAGGTGCGGTGCGATCGATATGCGACCAAATGCGGAGTTGCGGTTTTCCTAGTTAAAAAACACGTTTTCGACCCCAATAATAACCCCCGGAGCGTCAACCGCCGGAGGGGAGTGTTTTGGTACCGGTGGATATATGAGGGACAGCTGGAATCAATCGGATCGAAGATCGGACCGCTCGGAGCTAATCGGCGCAAGCTGCCAGCCGGCCGAGTACCTATCGGCGGTACCTGTGGGCATGAGAGGACTCTGCTATGTGGGAAAGCGATGTGGGAAGAGGCCTGAGTAGGTAGCCTTGCCGTCCGAGACCTCAGAATAGCCGACGCTGACGATTATCCACCAGACGGCCGATGGAGAAGAAACATCGACAGGGAAACGTGAATTAGAGTGAATAAATAGGTTGAGGGGTTTCAGCGGCTTTAGGAGTTTGGGTTACGGACTTAGGAGTTAAATGTACTTGGTTGTTTTTCAGGGTCTCGGGCATGCCCCGAGTGTATTCTGTATTATTAGTAGACTGAGTCCTCGAGACATAAGCGAGGGATATAAATACTGTGTCATTCACTGACTAGCCAAACCATTATCGGCGAAATCAGAGTCTTAACAATATAAATCGTTGATACGCGAGTTACAACTTTATTTGGTTATACTTTTGAAAATACTTTATTCTATCGTGACTTCGAACTCTACCTGAACTATTACGTCGAAAACGGTCGAACATCACACACTAACTCTAGTGAATCTTTGTTGATAACGTAGCTCGCGGGGCCCGTATCGGATCAAGGAGAATCATACTCGGCGTTGACTGAAGAGACCTTGGAGACTTCTACCTTTGTAGCTGTTAGCCGAACTCTGAGCTCTGCGTAGTGTACTCTTGTGGTCTGGTACGCATCCCTCACAGTATATTGTTACTCACAAGTTCACTTGGAGTAACGAAGTCACCTCGAAAAGAAGAACTATCATCGTTATCCCCTATCACAATGACTACCCGAAGGGATAATTACTTCATAGATACCTCGGCCGTAACTGAGGAGGCCGGAGGAGAGGATTCTATGGTGATATCAAGGGCTGCTAGCCCAGACCCCCTACTTACGGGAGGACCCTCCACACAAACTAGGCAATCGAGTAAACGCTCTGCTCAAGCCTAGTTCGTGAGGAACATGCAGGAGTTTTTGGATACCCATGAGGCACAAATGAGGTATCTTGGTGCAGCTGGACAGGCCGTTTGGCAGCAGCTACAAAACCTCCAGGAACAAGTCCAAGGGAGTGGGCAAATCCTGGACAAGAAGGTACGACAAGAAGCCATTGCCCAAAAACAACATCTGGAATCGCTCTTTGAACTCGTCTCCAGTGTCCAACAAGTACATGAAGCTGCACGAGCCGCCGACCACAAGGTTCTGGAGCAAAGTCATCTGCAAACCCAGAACCAGTTACAGGAGGCGGAGCGACAACTGAGGATGGTAAGAGAAGAGCGAGAGCAGGAAAAAGGGGAGCAACGAGCTTGGTTTGCGGAATTCAAGCGGTCCGATGCGGAAAGAAACCAACGGATAGCCGAGATGGAGGAACTACTGCGACAACATCTGTCAGTAGCACCTTCCGTGGCAAGTGCTCCCTTAGATCCTAATGCACCCCGAACGGTTCCTGTTGGCAATGGCAAGAAACCCGAAAATGCTGGCCCAGTAGGAGGAAACGCTGGTCCAGTAGAAGGGAATGGAGGCAGGCAACCGGAGGATGCCGGCCCAGTGCAGGGCAATAATGGCAGAGGACCGGTGGGAGCTGCTCCAGTTGGCGGGAATGGTGGGAATCAACCTCCACAAAACCCACCAAGAGGAAACGTTGGGGGAGACCCAGAACCTTCCGACGACGATGACGACGATAACAGTGAATGGTCGCACGGTCGGAAGAATTGGAGAAGGAACCGAGGCGGGAACCGGAATTCGGCGCCGCCTGAAGACGACGATATGGTAGATTCGCTTGCCAAAATACCCTTTGAGTTCGATAATGCCAGGAAGCATAACCTGCGGCATTGGCTCATGGAATGCGAGATCTACTTTGAGCAGAAGCCCAAGAAGTTCCGAACGGACAGGAACAAGGTACTGTTCGCTGGAACGTATACGTGTGGGTTGGCAAAGGAATGGTTCATGGAATACATCGAGACCAAGATGCTAGGACCGGCAGCCGCGGACTACGCCACTTGGACTCGGTTCCGTCAGGAGATTAGGAAACGCTTCTTAAGTACTCAGGAGGCTATGGAAAACGCGATGAAGATGCAGCAGTTTAAGTACTCTGCTAACATCGGGGACTACCTGACAAGAATGGAGATCATGAACCAGCATGCTCAGATGAAAGGAGCATCCTATCGCGCCGCCTTGCTCCAAGGACTACCAAATGAAATCCGGGAGCGCCACTCACGCTTCGATCCAACCGAGGACGACTCCGAGTACATCCAACAGTTGGAACGAGCCGGTAAGGCTCATGAGGCCTATCAAGAGCAGATGAAGATGTTGGGGAAAGCGGAGTCGAGAGGAAGGGAGACGAATAATGGTGGGAACTCGCGGCAAAAGGAGAAGGGGTTTAAGATCAAGGGGAGGGCTCAGACCGAGGAGAAAGAGAAAGGGCAAGATAAGAAGAGCACCAGCAAGAACAAGTCGGGGAATAAGCCAATATACCACGTGTAACGGAGCCATTTCAACTGTCTGGTGTATGAGTACACACAGGGCCCGATTACATGCTGAGAGTTATTGTTAGAAGCCAGTTGCACGGTGATATGCAAGTACCGGCAGTGTGGTTAGCTACCAGCTGTTAGAGTAACTACATTCCGGGCGCTAGGAAGGGGATCTATTCATGGGAGCAATGACTGACGAGTCGATGCCTCGCCAGTGACTAGAAGACCGGCCAGAGTGAAGCTCTGATTGTCCGGTGATCCTCTGTATTCCTCTGAGCATTGTATGACCGCCGAAGAGGCAGGGACTATGCTAGGGAAGTCTACAATAAGCGAAAAGCTCTACAGCAAGATTAAGCTTACACCTGAGCGGTAGCTCATTCATGCAGGTCCTCGGTTGTGTGGCAACCAAGGCTGCAGGTGTTACAAAGGCTTTGACTAAGGGTGGTTGCCTTGGGTATCGGAAACACCTGCTGACGCTTAGAGAAAAGCGGGGTAGCGGTGGTATTGTTTTCCGGTACTGAGGAAAGGCCCACCGGAACTTAGTAAGGAGTTAGGAGCAGAGAATAGAGGCCTTTGGAGTATAAGTACTCAGGTTCATTCTCGCCCTTCAGTCCTGTTCTCTCGAGTCTTCAATCAGAAAAGAAAAACCAAGTTCTTATCGGTAGCAGAGCCCTTAAAGATTATTGAGTTCTAGCGATAGTATCTTTGAATAATCTGCAACCTGATTGTCTATCTTGCACGGCCGTCTCTATTCTATCCGATTCCATTTCTCTTAGAAAGGACCCCCGTTACAGATAATCTTTAAGGCTCAAGTCACCTTCAGATTATTCTTCCTCTATACAAAATGTCCGCCCTATCAGCTCCGGAAGTGCCTCTTCAGATTGAATGGCAGCCGGTGCCCCTCCAGCTTGATGCCAACGGGCAGACACAGCTTGTTAAGAAACCCAGGACCGCTCTACAGACCTACATCCCCGGTTGTGAGCCTGCCTGGCAGGATACCGACGAGGTTTCCTTCCAACAGTTCTTCACAGAGCTCCAGTCCTACCTCCAGCATAGCCTGCAGAATCAGTTGACCCGAGGCGGTCAGGCACTGCTTCTTGTGCAAGAGCGCCAGGCAGCACAGAATGCTCTGATGGCAGAAGCTCTTGAATATATGAGGCATGAAGTCAACTCTGTCCAGGAAGAACTCCGAAGGTACGTGGAAAGGGATGAATTGGCAGCCGATGCCATGGAGATTGAGTGGACAAACCCGGCAACTCCGCCAGATTTTGTTGCCGAGATTCAGAAAGCCCTTGATGAAGGAAGGCTAGTGGTAGGGAGACCAGCAACTCCGGTACCAAATCCAGGCTCCAGGTCCTCGTCCAGGGCGGCCACCAGGACAATGCAGCGGAAGACCAGTCCCTTCTCAGCATTTCCGGTCAGATCCACTAGGAGAATTGTTCCTATTGTCCAGCCAGCGGTGGGAGCATCTCCCTTACCTCCTAGTCGCTTTGCAGGAGTAAATCCATTTCTTGGATTAGCCGACCGATCTTTTGACTATGAGGGAGAACTCTACCCAGGTGCAGGCCGAGGACCTCCCAGTCCGCTAGCCAGGAATCAAGGAAGGTTCACCATGTCCGGGGCCGCTCAACCAGCAGCAACCTCACCACTGGCCAGCAATGTGGCACCAGTAGCACCTGTGGCCCCTCCTGCTGCGGCCGCCGCCCCCCCCCAAGCTCAGGCACAGGGTGGAAGTGGTGGGAACCAGAACCCTCCGGCCCAAGCACAGGGTGGAAGTGGTGGAAACCAGAACCCTCCGCCTCCTGTGGCCCGTGCTCCTGCTCCTGGAGACTCAGACAGTTCTGACAGCTCCGATTCGGAACCAGAAGGTGGTGATAGAAGAGGCTGGCGGAGATATCTTAAGAAGAAGTTGGAGAAGCAGCAGAAGAATTTGTTGGCTATGATGTCCCAGCAGTTCCGACCTCCGACCGCCTCTCCCTCTTCCACAACGACCAGGGCCCGAGAACCAAAGGCACCACCACCCTCCAAGTTCCAGGGCAAAGCGGAGCAAGTGGAGACCTTTATCCGGCAATGTGAGAATGTGTTCTCCATTGAGAGTCTGTCCTTCACCTCTGAGGAGGTTAAGATTCGATATGCCGGCAACTTGATGGAAGGAGAGGCAGCGATCCGATGGTATGAGGCATACCATAATTCGATTGATCAAGCCTCCGCCAACCGCCTTGCTGGAATGCCGGTGTCTTTGGAT